TATCTGTGTATTTATCGTGGTCTTCGACACCAAGCTGCACAAATTCACCAGCAGGCGAATTCCAGTTCACTGGTGGTCAATTTTAATGTGGGTCAATACAGGAAAACTGTGAATAACATGCTTTGGATCAATGGCGTTTTTCTTGGGTGTTATTTGCCACTCTTGGTATCGCTGTTTGCAATACTTGTCACTGGACTCAGTAACTTTACTCGGTTTGCTTTACATTTTAGTGCCATTGTAACGTATCTTAATTCGTCTTTAAATCCTATTCTATATTGCTGGAAGATCAAAGAACTATGAGAGAAAGTTATGGCCCTTTTCCGTGTGTTTTACAACTTCTTGTCATCTGATGGACAGTAGATCACAGTAGGTTAGCAAAGCCTGTAAGCTGTAATGTTAGTTGCAGTGCGGAAACATTTTTCAATAACTGTTCCAGCCCTATACTGAAATCGGAAACAATGACCCAAAATTGATCAGATTGTTTCAAAATAAACCTCAAAGAACAAAACCTGAACTGCAAATTAAACATCAGAAATTGAGACTTCGCACTCTGAGTGCGCTATGCAGCCCGTTCGCAGTTTGACGGTTTACCTGGTGGTAAGCAATAAAGCTATTTATAGTTTAAGTATTTCCAGTTAGTCACAGTACAACCTGTAATAAAAAACACCTTTTAGCTTTAAAGACAACAAGTACTTGTTACTCAAAAACGGCATACAACGTTTTGCAAAGTTAAAATAAATTCTGTCGACATGGTCCGGGCGTAGTCAATCGAACGTTCGGTAATCGAACTCAATCGAACTCAATCGAACTCAGTCGAACTCAATCGCTCGATTGAGTTCGATTGGTTTCGGCAATCGGACTTAATCGAACTCACCCAAAAATTTTACCAATCGAACGTTCGGTAATCGAACACTTCAACAATCGAACATAAATCCAGTTTCATCTGGTTTGAAACAAAGCGTTGCGGTCAAATAAGTTCTTTATTGGCTTCTATTTCAAACACGAGTACAACAGGCAAGATTTCGGACAGGGCAGAAGAGGTGAAACTAACCATTCTGGAAGCGGTGGTAAAAGGCTACCATGAGTGCTTTTTCGCCGTCCGTGTCGAGGATAGATAGATACACCACTTGCAGTTTTAATTAATAGAAATCTACTTTGAGGTAATGAGAACACTTTTAGCACTAGTAATAACTATTTTGTACACACTCTACACTGTTGCGTGCGTCAAGATCCAGATTCACTGGTCGTTTTTAGTTATCTAAACGAAACTTTAGCGACGGCGGTTTAAATCTCTTAAGAATATCCCCGTTCGGTGTTATTCCGAGCGATTTGAAGACAGTTTACATAGTGTACTGAGGTGTTCATGTTACCCAGTATTAATCGACTAAGTTCGATTGAGTTCGATTGATTTTTGGTTCGGTTTCGTTCGATTGACTACGCCGGGCATGGTCGAGTGGATATCATTATGACAGAGTTTCATAAATAGCGTTTATATATTTTTGTCAGACTGTGCAGGATCCAACCAAATACATGTACAACCAGTATTTGATATACTTCTTAGTACTTCTATATGACAACAGAAAATAGTATACGAAGACCTCTTAGACTGTTAAAAGTACGAGAAGTTGAATTCATTTATTAATGTTCATGGTGTGCATCAAAATATCGTAAATAGTACGATCCTATTAAAACTCAACCGTTAGATATGAAAACAGGAAAACTACAAACTTTTAAAAGTGATGATTACTGGTGTAGGTAAAGATCAGTTTTTAAAACCAAGAAAACACTCAGGCTAATCAACAGAAAAGCATAGATGATCCAGCGAACCATTGAAAAACTATTGAGAGCGAGACAGGAAGGGTTTTGATTTCTCAGGCTTCTGATTGAATGACAATTGTGCATGCCTGCAAAGAGGCACGAGATTTTACACCAAGTGCTAAGGGTAGTTATGCGGTAAAATAAGTGTAGATGCGGATTACAACATGGTCTCGGTTTGAGATTTTCCCGTAAGGTTAATAAGTGGTTAGTAATATTTTTATTTATTTATTGAATTTAATAATATATTTATGGAATACTTTTGAATTAATTCAATTTGATATGTCTATATTTATTTAATTTAATTGCTCTATATCCAGTTAATTTAATCCGTATATCTTCATTCCATTCAATATTC